GAGAGAGAGAGAGAGAGAGAGAGAGAGAGAGAGAGAGAGAGAGCAATAGATAGTAAGACCAATTTTTATTATAATTGCTATGTAAATTAAATAAATGAAAAAGTTGCAGTTAATTTTATCTATCACTCATGAAAAAAGAAAATATTATACATATTATTACAGTTGTATGTATGTATATAAAGTAAATTATTACATGTGTGTATATAAAGTAACTATAATTAATTATAATTTTAAAAAATCTTAAAAAAACATATACATGATCAACTGTCAAAAAAATTATTAAAAAACCAGAATTCTTCCATTTGTTGAGGAAATTAATTAAACATTTTTAATTACATCTACTGCGTAATAATACAATAATTGTGTTTTACATACATTTTGTGATTTGTATTCATACATCATATTAAGTAATCTATTATAATAAAAAACGATTTTTATTTTATTTCAATAAATATAATATTTAATATTTGCAGGTATAATTTAATATGCTTATAGATCTTAATTAAAATATATGTATAATATATAAAAAGAAAACACTTCATAAATATATTTATTAATTAATAAACGCAAAAGTACTTACTCTACTAGTGTATAAGCGACGCTTATTGAATTATGTTAAAGAAGAACGAGAGAGTGTTCAAGATACATATATGTTAAAGTTGTTTTTCATATCTATGAGCAAATATTGCAAAAAAGCTTTGATTATTGATGCCAAAGAGTATACTTTATTAATTTTCACAATTCTAAACCTTTCGTAACATCAACGTGTTATTTTCCGATACTAATTATTTTCACTTTATTCTTTCAGATGCATGAAGCAATGAAATTAGCATATGTGTGATGTAAGTATATTTCTTTATATATTTTTTCAGAATCGTTTCGAAATTCAAAATATATACATATAATGAGCTTCTCTAAGAAAGTACATAAATTTTTAATAGAATCATTTATTTTAATTCATGTTAAGATGTACTTTTTTTCTAAAATCCATTTTATAATCTATGTCAAAAACTAATTGTTAAATTTTGTATTTCTGCAATTACAAATCGTGTGCAAAAAAGAATATATAATTTTCACTGTTTTATTAATATAAAACGATTATTAATATAGAACTGCAAGCCTGTGAACACTTTTAAATTACAAATTTTTGTAAAACATAAATAAGAAGAAGCATAATAGCATAAATAAGAAAAAGCACAGTTATATTTTATACGCAAGATATTTTTTGTTAAAGTCATATATTTAAAATTATAAATGTAAATGTTTCGGTCAAGTCATCAGCACAATAAAAGAATGTGAGATGTTAAATAATAAAACGCTAATTAAAATGTAGAAATGAAGTTCATATCTGAAAATTATTCTGATTCCTCGATCTTTTTAACATATGAACTTAAATCTTATTTCTTGATTGCTGTATGTTAACACGGAATTGCCAAATTCTGACAAATTTAAATAAATTATTATCTTAATTTAATTTATTAGGTGACTTAATTATAAAAATTTACTACGTATTATCACAACAGTTACAATGTTGCGGTGTTATTGATGAAGAATATTCACAAAGACGAAAGAATTTGTCAGTACGAATATTAAGTAAAAAATTATAATTGTGTGCCGATATGGTTGTCGGACTTTCAACGCAATCAATCTGAAATATTAATAATCCCTCCAAATTTCCCAAATTTAATTTTAAAAAACTATAATAAAGTTATTGCGAAAAATATTGCCTCGGCCGAATCCGAAACTTACATTCAGATCGTAGTGCTTCGTATTGTAATTACAGTGACATTGTCAGCGCTTCGAGACGGTATTTATATGTAATGAGGGAAAAGGAAAGGAAAAATATTAGAAAGAAATGATTTATTAGTGAAGGGGAAACTATTTTTTAATTATGGATATAAAAATGATCAGGAAAATGTAATGTGTCAGTCTGCTTATTTAATACAAAATTTCTTATCTAATACAAAAATCTTGTTTCTTTATGCGTATCATCTTTGATTTTTTTTATAATAAGATATTTCTGAGAATTCAGAATTTTTTCTTTCTTTTAAAATTTTTGTGTTATCCAAGTCAATTTTGTGATTGTGTTCTAATTAATATTGGGAGACCATAAAAACTGCAATAGAAGCTTTTCTTATGTTAGTTTTTGTTTTTTCAGCCGAGTTCAATTTCCGTTTAGTCTGATCATAAGACATTGCAATCAGAACAATTTATTTGATAGATAACATTTGAACGATCTTCTTTTTTTAATATATCTTTTCCGTTTTATAAAAAGGTTTAAAGAATTCATAAGTTTATAAGCAACATTAAAGTTGAATTTATGTATATAATTTAAAATTTTTCTAAAACATTTTTAGAATGTGCAATAGTAAGAAAACTTTATACTTTTTATTTTCAATCTGGAATCAAAGATAGAAACATCGTTATGAATTTTTATATTATCAAAATTTTTTTTACATAACAACGCTTTATTCTATTATTGAAAATTAATGGAAAAAAGGAATTCTAATGGATATCCATTATTTAAAAAGGTGTAGATTAATGAATAAATATTTTTTTCGTGAAATTGGATGTGCAAGAAATAAAATTCTGTCTAATTGTTTTGTCTAATAATTATATCATTCTTATGTTCAATCAGATGGAATTAAAATTTAAATATTTACCTGAATTTGTAGGCTTTTTATAATTATCAAAAATTATCAATCATTACTTTAATATCCAAGACTCTAATTCTTTCATTATCGCTATATTCGGTAAATTGAATTCTTTTGTGGTATGAATTGAAAGTGCAAAGAATTGTTTCAATTTGATCTTTTTTAGCAGCTAATATAATATTGTCCATATGACGATAGTAAAATGGAATAGAAAAGGTTTAAAGTTTTAAAAATTTCATTTTCTAGATCTAATATTACGCAGTTGGCTAAAATAAGAGACAGAGAAGATTCCATGGGCAAACCAAAGATTTGTTTGAAAATTAAATCATTGAATTTGAAAAAAATAAGCTAAGAACCAATCAGTAGACAATATTTGAAAAATATTTTTTAAATATTCATTTCTTATTAATTATACATTTTGTCCAGTTTATTGTAGAAAAAAATCTTTATTAAATTTACATATTACATATTTTTTTTACATTTGTTATTTATTAGTAACGAAATTGTAAAGTACGAAATTGTAAAAAATATTTATTTAACGTTTATTTAACATTTATGTTTCTTTAATAATTTATTTGTAGTAATAATATTAAAAATCATTTATTCAACATTTATTCATTAATTTAATTTTTATTTGTCAACAGTTATTTGCAATAATAATTTTATAAAACATTTATTTTCAATAATGATATAAAAAATATTCATTTCACATTTAATTGTTATTAATTTAATATTTATCTGTATTAGGCATATACTATTTGCAGTAATAATTTGCAAAAACGTTTATTTATTAAGTCAATCAGAAAGTTCTGTCCGTTTAGCGGCGAACAACTGTAGCTAGAACTGTTGATAACTCTAATATCTAAACAAGCTTAATTTTTTAAATTTTACCATCTGTCAATAAAATCATTCAGTATATAAAAATATACATTCGCATTAATAACATTGCTTCTTGCTACATCGAAAATGTCGAAATTTGAGCCAAATAAGCGTTATTTGTTGATTGTACAATAAGCGCAAAGTATTAATCTTTTGCTTCATATGAAAAAAACTTGCAGATGAAGCTCATCGAATGCTTGCAGAAGTTTATGGTGATAGTGCTCCTTTAGACAAAACATGCAGAGAATAATTTCGATGCTTTAAAAATGATGATTTTAATGTGGAAGATGAAGAGCGTTCTGGACAGCCAAGAGCATTCGAAGACTAAGAATTGCAGGCATTCATGAATGAAAACTCATGTCAAACGCAAAAACAACTTGCAGAAACATTAAATTGTGCTCAATCTGTTATTTCTAATCGTTTGAAAGCCTTGGGAAAGGTCTACAAGGAAAAATGGTCCCATATGAACTGAAGCCAAGAGACATTGAAAGGCAAAAAACTATCTGTAAAATTCTGTTTGTTAGACAACAAAGAAAGGGGTTTTTGCATCGTATCGTTGCTGAGGCTGAAAAATGGATTTATTTTGACAACTCCAAACGTTGAAAAACCAGTTGTGACCCCGATTCAATTTTCAACATTGACATCAAAGTGAAATATCCATGAAAAAAAAAACAATGCTCTGTATTTGGTGGGATCAGAAGGATGTAGTGTATCATGAACTGTTAAAATCTGGTCAAACAATCACAGGGGATCTTTACCGAGAACAAATTATCCGTTTTGAGTCGAGCACGAAAACCGAATACGAAACGAGACAGCACAAAGTGATTTTGCTTCATGACAATGGCCTCACATCACAAAATTTGTCAAGGAAACGTTAGAAGCACTTCGCTGGGAAGTGCTACCTCATGCGGTTTATTCACCAGATTGTGTCCCTTCCGAGTACCTTGTTTTGATCGATGGCACTTGTTGAGGAACATTTCAATTCTTATGAAGATGTCGAAGAATAGATTTCTGACTAAATAGCTTCCAAAGATGAGTCATTTTTTTGCCGCGGAATTCGCTAGTTGTCCAAAAGATGGAAAAAAGTCATCGCTAATGGACAATATTTTAATTGATGTATTTTTTCATTTTGTTTCTTAAATATATACTTTTTGCAAAAAAACGGACAAAATTTTCCGATTGACCAATATCATTTATATAACACTTATTTAATTTTTACCTCTTCAATATTTATTTTCAAAAAATATTTTAAGAAACATTATTTAAAATTTATGAAAATTTACTTAATATTAATGTAACATAAACCGGTTTCACCAACG